ACCTGCCCGGCACAAGCTCGGGCGCTGGCGGAGGGCGCACAGCTCCGGTGACCTCCACACCTGTCCCTCTTCCCTGCAGGTCAAGACCGCGCCTGGGAGGATGTACCAGAGCCTGGCGCTGGCCGCGAGCCCCAACCAGGCAGCTTACGCCGACTCCGGCTCCTTCCTGCACGCTCCGGGCACCGGCTCTCCGATGTTTGTGCCGCCGGCGCGCGTCCCCTCGATGCTGTCCTACCTGTCCGGGTGTGAGCCGAGCCCGCAGCCCCCCGAGCTCGCTGCGCGCCCCGGCTGGGCGCAGACCGCCACCGCGGATTCGTCGGCCTTCGGCCCGGGCAGCCCGCACCCGCCAGCCGCGCACCCGCCCGGGGCCACCGCCTTCCCTTTCGCGCACAGCCCCTCGGGGCCCGGCAGCGGCGGCAGCGTGGGGGGCCGGGACGGCAGCGCCTACCAAGGCGCGCTGTTGCCTCGAGAACAGTTCGCGGCCCCTCTTGGGCGGCCCGTGACGACCTCATACCCCGCCACCTATCCGGCCTACGTGAGCCCCGACGTGGCCCCGTCCTGGACTGCCGGGCCCTTCGATGGCAGCGTCCTGCACGGCCTCCCAGGCCGCAGGCCCACCTTCGGTAAGTGCGGGGTCCACAATCTCGGGGCCCGGGGGCTGGCCGAATCCGGGTGCAAACCCGCACCCTGCGAAACGCTCCCCTCCTCCTCCCCCGCGGTCCGAGCCTCCCCGCCAGCAGCCCCGGGGCAACAGGAGAAAGCCTGGGTAACACCCCGCAGGGGAAACAGCCGTCCACAATTCTGTTTGAACCTGTTAACGAGAACATCTGTTTCCAAACAGCATTCCGGATTGTGCCAATGTGGAGCCTAAAAAGTCTTAATCGTTTTGGTTTTTTTTTTCTTTTTTTTGAAAAGTTTTGGAAACGATTTTTATAAAGTACAAAACACCGGTTTATTTAAGTGGCCACATTCGTCTCGGTTCTAGAATGCTTACTTATTTTAATTTGAGACCTGGTTTCAGTCGCTTCCCTAGTATCAGTTTGGAGAATCGGATTCTCGGCCCGTGAAGGGAGCGGCTCTTCCCGGTTGCAGCGTAGTCACTTTCTGGCGAAGGCGGCGCCTCTGAGCTCCGCAGGGGCCCATCCCGTCCCTCCGGGACCGTGGAGGCCTCGACACCCAGCTCCGGAGCTGCCTTTGGGACCCCGCCGGTCCCTTGGCGCAGGAATCGAGCTCAGCCGCAGC